ATTTTGTCTGTCCGCAGTTCTCAATAGGTGCATGTTGGAAACCCATGGGGTCATTTCTGGATGTCACACTGATCGGGGGTATTCCGGGGGCCACCGTGCATTGTAAGATTCTCACCATCAATTACTTCATGTCACAAACATCCTGCTGCACATTCATGTCAATGGGGAAAAAAAGAACTATTTATGATTATCCAAGTTGAGACTGTAACTTGATTTTACAAAGAAAACAATTTTTTTTTGGTATTCACATACTAAATTTCCCAGGCTTGCAATTGAGTAAATTCAAAGATTATAAAAATTGTTTTGTTTGAAATTTTACCCAGAAGTGTTTACCAATTCCAGAAAATCATGACTACCGTCAGTCACAGCATTTGAGTTGCCAAAGCAACACAACTACCTTGCTCTGCACTTACCGCTGTCACAGTCAAGGTGATGGTCTACAGGAGCAGGAGACTTAACTGCTTTATTATGCCTTTAATGTTGTTCTGCTTAGGCATCTACATACTGAAATGTTTGTGTTTTTCTTTATTCATCATTTATATTAGATCATTGTATTTTTGTTGAAACCATGAATACATGAATTATATATGACTTTTGCCTCAGGATTTATATAAGGGATGTTATGAAATATTAACTATGCAGAGGGTGTTGAATCCAATGGGGCTGAGAACTGCTGGTCACTGTCAAGGATCTAGGCTGGGCCTAGGGTTTTACATCTTTTTATCTCTTGCCACAACTGACACTCAAAAGGTGGTGACATAATCTTATTCTTCAGTTACAATATTGGATTTAAGGCAACTTCCTTATTCAACTCTTGTTCACTTCAAGTAGATTCACAATACAAGAGAATCCGACTGGCTGTGAGTCCTCAGACCACAACTTCTAGTTTCAGTATCAGGCGATTTCCATAAACGGCCTCTGGACTAACTAGTCCTCAGGAGCTCGGCTCCCAATTGGCTCTCCAGGCTGACACTGTTCCTGGCTGTAGAGCACCCCAAACTCACCCTAACAGGATGGTCTCAATGCCCACGTCAGTCAACTCAAGTGAGATGCAACCTAACCAGGATCTTGAGTGTGCACAACAAAACTGGCACACTGAAATTCATTTCATTTCCTCTTTCCAATCACCTGAAAGCTAGAAACTATTATTCCAAGGTTACCTACTTGACAAGAGGTCAAACTAGTTTGAACCCAGGTCTGAGCCTTCAAAACCCAGTATTCACGGTACTCCATAACCAGCCTAAGAAAACCCTGTAGTCAAACTCCACTCTAATCACCAGCTTTTCTGTGGCTACAGCCAAAGAGCTTCTGAACAAAGGACGACTTAGCTCACTCCACTCCCACCACCACTGCTTTGTTTTGTTGAGAAATGAAATGGCCTTAACCCGATACTGAATTTTCCTCTGAACTAAACATCTTCCTTTTTCCCCAAAATGATCTACTCCAGTCTTTACAAGGGCCATTCAAATTTGTACTTTCCTTCCAAGATACCAAACCACTTCTTTATGTTACAACTGGTTAGTGAGAGTTAACTCTTAATTATATTTTTCAAGAAGAGGGGCTTGGGTACTCTGTCAGAGGAGAGGGAGGAAGCTTTAGATGAGTGATTTCCAACCGAGGATGATCTTGCCAACTGCAGGACATTTGGTAACATCTAGAGGGATCTATGGCTGTTACAACAGGTGGAAGGGAACATGTGTGCTACTGGCATCCAGGAGGCAGAGGCCAGGGGTACTCCCTAACTCCCTACAAGGCATAGGACAGTCCCTCACAACAAAGGATTATCTGACCCAAGATGTCAATAGTGCCACAGTTAATGCCCAGATGTCAATATCCTGCCTCCTTAAAAATACAACCTCCCAGTGGGGAAGAAACCATCGAGTCCTCCCAGCTGGGTGGAGAAGCCGCCAAAGTAGTGAGAGAACTCTGCCTGCCAGAGGCCTGACGGCTGGGCACAATCCATTACTAGTATGTTCTGTCTTGAAAAGCTGATTCTAACAGGAAAAACTGAAATTAGCGATGGCCTCTCGGGTCACATAGAATTTAAAACTCTTTTGCATCAGGAAAAAAAAAATTCTGATTACCACCCCACAAAACAAAACAATAAAACTCCCAAATTCCACAGTATTTAAAAAATAAAATTAGATAAACAGCATAAAATGTTAAGAGCACACAATTCCACTCTCTAGAGCTGGTCAATAGCAACATAAGAGGGTGTGCCTCTAAGTTTTTCCCAGCCATGTGCAGATAGATGGAGCATATGTAATCCGAAAACCTGAAATGCTGTCATGTTGGAATGTCATACTTGACCCTCAAAAGCCTTAGATTTCTGATTTTTGGATTAGGTTGGGTACACTAGTAAAGTCTATGCAAATATTACAATACTTGAAACACTTCTAATCCCAATCATTTTCGATAAGGTATACTGGCTTGGTTTGAACTTAATGTCCCCCCAAGTCTCATGTGTTGAAGGTTTTGTCCCGTTGATGGCACTATTGGGAGATAGTGGACACTTAGGACATGGAACCTAGTTGGAGGAAGTAGCCACTGGGTGTGTCTTTGAAGGGTCTATTAGAATCCTGCCTCACCCCCTCTTCCTTCCTCCTATAATTTGACACTTACTTTTTGTCCTTTGTAATGTACCTAGCACATTCACACATGCCTAGCTGCATGCTAGGCTATTCCACTGCCCAGATGTCCATCTTAGTCAATCAAGTCCTTATTGATAGACATTTAGGTTACCTACAACGTTTTGCTAGTACAAAGAATGTGGCACCGACCATCACTTTTGTGCACTCGTGAGGACTTCTGGAAGTCTAAATGCTACGTATGTTATTAAAACATACTGAATTGTGGATAAAAGGGGTCTTCATTATCAGCATATTCATTAACAAAAGCCTTGTAGCTACCAGGTTGTATAGAGAAGTGAAAGTCACTACAACATGGAGACATTCGTGAATGAGTTGACTACTTCTCTATAGTCCTTGCTTCATAAGTATCTAAACCCAGAGTGTATCCTGCCCCTTGAATTCTAGTCTTCTCTTGGTGTGTATAGTGAACATATGACAAATGATGCAAATACAATGCAGATTAACTGGAATAATCACTAGTCTTACAAACGATGTGGATTTGATGAAGTTGATAAATGCTAGAAAACTGCTCAAATATCAAGCAAAGTCACTGAAAAATGGAGATCTGTAGACTCAGGCCAGTCTACAATAAAGGGAAAGGTGATGAGGTAGGTGCCAACAGCTGCTTGTAAAAAAGGACACTGTGATGATGAGGAGATTGAGAGCCCTACACAAAACTGAAGAAACCCCCAACTTTTGGGGAGTGTGTCTGGTACTGGTTATTGAACCCAAGGGTGCTTTACCACTGAGCCACATCCCCAGCCCTTTTGTTTTTATTTATTTAAATCTATTTTTTAGTCGTCAGTGTACCTTTATTTTTATTTATTTATATGTGGTGCTGAGAATTGAACCTAGTGCCTCACACATGCCAGGCAAGTGCTCTACCACTGAGCTACAACCCCAACTCCACCACACCCTTTTTAATTTTTTGAGACAGCATCTTGCTAAGTTGCTCAGGCTGGCCTTGAACTTGCAATCCTCCTGCCTCAGCCTCCCAAATGGCTGGGATTGTAGGCATGTACTACCACACCTGGTAACCTTTTTTTTTGGTACCAGCTATTAAACTTGGGCATATTCAACCACTGAGCCACATCCACAGCTTTATTTTATTTAGAGATAGTATCTCACGAATTGCTTAGTGCCTCATTTTTGCTGAGGCTGCCTTTGAATTCTCTATCCCCCTACCTCAGCCTCCTGAGACACTGAAAAGGCACAATCCATTTTGCAAAATATATTTTTGCAATATTGGCTTCACTGGAGGAACAAACCCTTGTACCTCATGTGACAATTTGGGTCCTTTTCTCTTAGGGCAGGAATGGAGGCTGTGGTTGATTTGCTTTCTATCTCTGCCATTATCCTCAGTGGCCAGCCAAGGACTGGCCAGCACAGGAGGAAAAAACCCAAGTTCACACTCTCAAGATCCTCCCAGGCTGGGCCTCACAATCCCCCTGAGGGATCTGTCAGGTGCCATTCCTAGGACACTGAGAAAGGAAGCATATCAGTCAGGGCTCTGAGAACTTTTCTGTGAGACCCCATGCCCTTTATGATGCAATTTAGTAGTTCTGTAGAGTATTTTTAAGGGCCATGAAGACAAAGTACAGTCATAAAACACATTTGCCTAAAAGCTTTATAAATTATGTTATGCAGATATATACACATTCAACCTCCTCTCTAGTAATTTTAAAAAATAAAAATATACTGTTTGTAGTCTTAGAATGAGCAAGTGGATTTCATTTTCTAAACATGTGGAAATTGAAGCTCTAGGCCAATAATCAGTCAGTGTCTGTTAAGGGCCAAATGGTAACTAGTTTGCATTTTGTAATCTCTGTGGTCTCTGTTGCAACTACTCAACTGTCACTGTAGCACAAAATCAGCCACAGACAATATGTAAACAAATGAGGGTGGTTATATTCCGATAAAACTTTATTTATGGACACTGAGATTTGAATTTTACATTATTTTTCACATGCTACAAAAAATAATCTTCTTTTGATCTTTTTCAACCATTTAAAAATGTAAAAATCATACTTTGCAGGCTACACAAAAACAGGTGGTGGGTGGGATTTAGCCCTTGGGTCAGTTTGTTGACCCCTGTCCCATGCCACTTTTACACATAAATGTGATGCAGACTCTTCTGAGTAATACCTTATTTGCTCTTTGCTCTACCCATCCACATCCAAGATCCATATTATTTTGACAATAGATGTACATGTATAAGGAGCTCTCTAATTATTTTCTAAATTTTAGGACCAATAGTAAGATCTGCCAGAAATGAATGCCAGGCCACAGTTGAAATAACATTTACACAATGCCATATTGTGTACTAAATAAAAACAATAAAAAAAAAAACAATAAATCTGAGAAACTCACTGAATTTGAAAAATAGGCTTTATTTTTACCAGTGGTGTTACCTGACATCCTATATGGCATAAATGATTACAGCTGAGTTTATGAACACAGATAAAATAGCAGTTTCCCTCTGTCTCTTTTGTCTTCTGTTTAGAGAAATCAGGAGATGGGAGCATCTTGCTCAGAATTCCAGGAGCTCTTCCACCGGCTCCAGTCAGAGTCCAGGCTCCAGGAGCACTCAGCTTCCTAACACGTATGTGGTCACATGTGCAAACCCCCCCCCCTTTTTGTTTTTTTAAATAAAATATTCAGAGCAGTATTTCTGTAGGAAATCACACTAGCATTATAACCAAACATGGCTGATGAAATTCATCTTGCTGCAGATGGTGAGGATTTGAACTACATATAAAGGAGATGTTCACTTTCCTTTAAAGGGAGCAGAATCCCAGGTGAGGTGGACTCACCATCAGCCTGCTCCTTCCTTCTGGCTCCAGTTGACTCAGGGGCTCTACCCTGTCCCTGTGGAGCACGTATATCACTGCACAAATAGAGAATGGAGACACCTTGGCCTAAATACAAGATTTGTCACATAGCCAACGCTAGAATTAGCTTTTCACTTCCTTATCACACAGAAAGCTTAAATACACGGGCCCTTGTGTAGCACAAAATGCCTGAAATTCAGAAAATTATGAAAACAATTCTTCTCCACCCCTGAGGATATTTCATCTTTATAAAGGTGAAAATACAAAATATCAAAATAATTTGCCCTTTCTCCCCCATCAAAAGGAATCACATTCTCAAAGGATTCCTGCAAAATACAAAATTCTGAAACAAAATTTATTTCTCCCCAAACCAAGATCAAGAAATTAATCAATGTTAAGCTGCCTAGAAGACCCTTTTCCATAGAGGGGTGGAAAAGACACCTTGTGACTATTTTATTTTTTTTAATAAACATGTTTAGAGAAAGATAGCAAAAGGAGTTCCTGGCCTCATGAGCTTTTATTTTTCGCTTTGATTTTCAGCACTGGCTATTGGGAGTAAAGAGAACAACTAATTTTTCAAAGTTTGGGATATTCCTGGGAAAAGCCCTCGTCTTGTCCATGATAGTTCCCCAAAAGTCTGTTGAAAATCAGACGGCAAGACTGAAAATGCTATACATCCATCTATTCCACTTCTTTTCCCATGGTTTTTACATCAAGAGCACCTGGAGTATCAATTGTGTTCAACACAAAATAGCGCTGGGGGCCGAAGAGAGGATGAAGTCACTTTCATAGCATCAGCTAAGGTGACACAGGGCTTGACTACCCAAACAGATCTTCACCGGCAGACTTGCCTGGCCCAGGGCCTCCTGAAGAGAACGGGACAAGCAGCTGTGCATGCTCAAACAGCGAGACGTGCAAAACACATCCTCACTCTGCTAGAAATAAAGAGCACACAGGAAGCGCACCGAGAGCAGGAACTTGCATCTGACTGCTGGGGCCAATACTCAAGAGACCTCTGCACAAAAGGTGAGGGGTGAGCAGAGAAATGGCAACAACACCTGGGGGTCAGTGAGAAAGAAAAGCACATATATGCATGCGCACACGTGGCCGCCTCAGAAGCTGCCTGGTTACTCCGGGCTCACAGCCCTGTCTACTTGCCTGGCTCAGAACTTCAGCAGCTGCGGTCTTTTAACCAACTACACTTTCTTCTCTCCTCTTAAGGCACAAACATATTTACAGTTTCAGACGTATTCTCTCAAGTTCTGAGGCCCATACTAAGCAAGTTACTCACAGGCTGGTGCATGGCAGCCAGTTGGTCCTTTTTGGCTGTCTGCGTCGCTGGGGGGCAGCCAGAAGGTGTGAGCCTTCTTTCTGTGTCACTGTGGTGTGTGATCTAGTCTACCCCCCTACCATCAAGGTGGGGCCACAGGAGAGGCCAAAGTGGCAAAAGCATGACCAGAATAGGGGACATTTAAATTTTTTTTTTCCCTTGCATTTAACATATCCTTAACAAGATGGCAGCTCTTATCTACCTGAGCCGACATTCAGAAAGAACAGGCAGAGGCTGCCTCGGAGCATCCACAACTCCATGTAAAGTCACTGTGATCATAGTTTGCTCAGATTATGTTACTCTTCCACAAAGACAGACACGCACATGCACACACATTAACACACACACACATGCACGCTGCACGCACACACACGCACCCCTTCCACCATGGAGGAAATCTTTGCAACAAGAGGCACTTGAATGATATTTGGAGAGTTCCCGTGAAAAGGCCTTCCCCTCACAGTGAAGTGGGATCAACAACAGAAACCAGGCGCTCAGGACTCCATCTCTTCTTGGTCAAGGGGCGGCGGCACAAAGCTGATGACTTCATCATAGGTCAGGCCTGGAAGGTGGGGAGGAAAAGTAACATGTGAGAGTTTAGACTCTTCTTTTTGCTGGAAGGCTTTAAGCTCAGCTTCCTCCCATCCAGGTTAGTGGTTGGTTGAGCTACTTCAAAGAACTTCCTCATTACTTGTATAATCCTGGTGAAACACATGACTACACAGAAGCTCAAGGATACATGTATGAGAACCATTTCTTCTCATTTGTCTCATGGCTGTGTGTCTCTTCTTTTTAAAAACTCTCTGGGAAAAGTGCTCAAGGAAAACAGAGCACTCATAGCTGCAGCAGACAGTCCTGGCTTCTGAGATTTAACTAGAGTTCTGAACTTATATTTTATGGAAAGATTGTGAAAATGGACACAGGAGATGTGGGTTCCATTCCTGGCTGTGTCTTTAATGAAGTCTAAAGCAATAGATAATAAACTCTCTTTGCTTCAGTTCTATCATAAAACTGTAAAATCACTCTATTCTTTACTTATCTTGAGATATGATCAATGCAAAAACTCGGAGAATCATTTCAAAGGTCCAGAGAGTGTGGTCATCTACAACAGACAGAGTCCATCAGAGAATAAATTTATTCTGCACTAGGGATCTCAGCTATAAGTTTCAGTGAGTTGACTATAACCATTCATGAATTTTGATCTTTCCCAATTGCATTTGGTTAGTGGTTTACCCAGAAAAGATATTTATTTATTTATTTATTTATTTTTTATTTTATTTTTTTTTTAAAGAGAGAGTGAGGAGAGAGAGAGAGAGAGAGAGAGAGAGAGAGAGAGAGAGAGAGAGAGAGAATTTTTAATATTTATTTTTTAGTTCTCGGCGGACACAACATCTCTGTTGGTATGTGGTGCTGAGGATCGAACCCGGGTCGCACGCATGCCAGAAGAGCGCGCTACCGCTTGAGCCACATCCCCAGCCCCAGAAAAGATATTTAAATATAAGTTCTCAAGGTACACGTTTATCTTGCTCTTAGGACTTACTTTTCCACTCATCTATTAGGAGGTCCCTGCTTTCAAAAGACTGATCGTAAGGATCGGCCACTGGTTCATCATCAGGATCATGATACTGAGCAAAGTAGGCGTGTGCAAGGGCTTGGGCTGCAGTAATTCTCTTATCTGAGTCCAATACAAGCATCTTCTCCAGCAAGTCGACAGCTTTCAGTTTCATAGATTGGAAGGAAAAATGGAGACTTTTTAACATGTTATCAAAATTATGCTTTAGTAATAAGCAAACACAGTTTTTACCCTTTATATCCAAACAAAAAATTCTCCAAAGTATCTGATTTAGGATATATTATCCCTTCTTTCTTTTGCATGTGTGTTTGTATTTTGTATTTTTAGAGTACATTTCTGGGCTGGGAGTGTGGCTTAATGGTCAATTGTTTGCCTAGCATGCAGGAGGCCTTGTGTTTGATCCCCAGCACTGCATATAAAAATAAAAAATAAAATAATAATAATAATAAAGAAAAAAGGGAATTTATTTATTTTTAGTTTTTTCCCATAGCTTTATTGAGGTAAAATTGAAGTGGAAAAAAGGGAAATTAATTTTTTTTAGTTATAGATGGACAATAACTTTATTAATACAGAATAAAAACTACAGTACAGTGGACACTCACATGTGCCCCACCCCATGCGAATTCAACAATTTGCATTTTATATTTTGTATATATATATATATATATATTATTTTATGAACTGTTTTAAAATTATAGATAATACTTTATATATTTTAGCACAAAAACATCTTCCTACATAACCATAATACTGTTGTTATACTCAGCAATTTCCAAACATCATTTAAAATCCTGTTTATGTTAAAAGTCCTCAAATTATGTTAAAGTCGCCTTTTACAGATCATTTGTTGGAACCAGGATTCAGTTATAGACCATGCATTGCATTTGACTTGGTTTCTATAGTCTCTCAATCTAGGAAAAAATCTCTTCTAATCCGTTTCTTCCTGTTTTTGATCTGGAAAGACACACTAGTTGTCTTATAATACCTGTTAGGAATGCTCAGGTTCCTTCTTTGTGCTATCATGTACCTATACCCTTGCTTTTCTCTATCCCCTCAATTTCCCCAAATCCAAAAGTTATATCTAAAACATTGGTAAGAATCAGGTTAGACATTTTTTGCAAGAATGAGTCACAGGTGATGCTGTGTACTTGAGTGCCTTTAAGGCCATTTGTCCAACTGTTAATGGTGTGAAATTTCTTCAGTGGGTTAAAATGTTTCCCCTTTTCCCCAAGTAAGTAATCTGAGGGCATTTTGACACCAGGTGAAAATCAGTTCTTTTCACAAATGGCTTTTAGCATCTACTGATTTTCATTCCCAAAGGCAGTGATTTCATTAGGAGGTACAAAATGGTGACGCTTCTCATCTATCTGACAAGGATGCTCTGAGTCTTGGCACTTGGGAGGATGGCCACGGTGGTAACTCTGGTGAAGCAGGATTTTTGAGACTTTGCAAAAATCTCTTCTTAAATGTGGAGAGGGCGGGGAAGGGTAGTAAAGAGGAGGACAGCTTCCAGAAGAGATCAATTGTTGTGTAACTGGAGGCTGTGAAAACCCGTCTTCCAGCCTGAGTCCAGAGTAAACACAGGAAAACATGGGTTTCAGGAGGATACAGAATCAAAGTGAATGTCCATGGGTTGATTCAACTTCCTAAGCTTATACTTTGAAGTACTGGGAGGACTGCCTGGATATATATTCTTACCATATTCTTTTCTTCTTAGAAAAAGAAATCTTTTGAGTTTTAAAACTGAACATGGATTACAGGGTAATTTGAGGGTAGAAACTGCCATGTCCTCAAAACCAATACTTTGATGAGTAATAAGGTTAGAGATAAGAAAATATATTTCTCAAAGATCTTTTAAAAATATTTTTAGTTATACATGGACATAATATCTTTATTTTTCTAATTCATTTTTATGTGGTGCTGAGGATCGAACCCAGTGCCTCACATGTGTGAGGCAAGTACTCTGCCACTGAGCCACAATTCCAGCCCCTCAAAGATCTTGATAGATATAAATAACAACAAAGGCAGTTTAAGTTTTAATTTGCATTTTGGGAAGAAGAGGGAGAGGAAGTCGGTGACTGACAACACAGCTGTCAATATTTATATCCTTGGTGCCCTCCTGCTTAGCTGATATCATGGGCACAAGCTCGTGATCAGTTACACCACGTCTGCCCGCCAGGCAAGGGACACTCTACCAGTCTAGCACTGTTTGGCAACAGTCTACCACTGTTTGGTAAGAAATGTCTGAACTCTGAGAAACAGTGTTGAGCACCAGATGGGCCAAAGCTTCCATTTGACTCGTTAGCAGTCTGTATTGCTAAGTGGCATCTAGTTCTTTTCACTGTTTAAATGTCATGGTTCCAGAGAATGTTATGACCTAAATAAGCTGCAGGACACACGCATCTCCCCTCCTCCAGAAAATGGAATTAAGAAGTCTTTTTTGAGGGCTGGGATTGTAGCTCAGTGGTAGAGCACTTGCCTCGCATGTGTGAGGCCCTGGGTTCGATCCTCAGCACCACATAAAAATAAATAAATAAATAAAGATATTGTTCCACCTAAAACTAAAAAAAAAAAAAAAAAATTAAAAAGAAATCTTTTTTGAGTCTGTTAACAGAGAGGCTGACAGTAAGCACTGCCATGTCTAAAACTTGGGGCTGGTAAGATGAAAAAAATCAGGATGGAAGGACAGACAAGAAAGCTACCAGTATACATCTTCTCCCTTTCCACAGCCTCCTGGAGTACTTATGGCTTATAGAGAGCTTCTCACAGATCCTTGAACTAGATAATATGGCTCAAATAAATCACCCAAAGCCCAGGGCAGATGCTAAACTAAACCATACCCATGATGACCCACGGATTCATCCTTGAACAAGAGACTGAACCACCCGAGATCTGACATACTCTCTATCTCCAAGGCTGACATGAATTCATCCATAACTGCCCAATGCTTCAAAAAGCATGTGCTTCATATTGTAAGAATTACTGCAGACACACTGAGACTCTTCAGTCACTATAAAGTACTTCAAAAGGTAAACTACCTAGCTTTTACCCCAGCTTCTGAAGAGGTCACCACAGCTGTCAGTCCTCAAAAGGGTAAAACTAAACTTGAAGCACAGCCACCAGGACCCTTACACAGAGAGATGACCCACGGAGACTTGACACACAGAGACGAAAGACCTACCCCTATAATGTAATCTTCAGTGAAACGGGAAGGCGGATTATGCTGGCTGTCAGCACCACTCCCCTCCCTACCCTAGGTAGGTCCTGGTCTATCCTCCTGCATCTAGCATTAAACATCACTATCCACTACACCCTCCTAGAATCAGGAATCAGAGCCTCAGGTAAAACTGCTTTCTGACATCATCTGAAATACACATCAGATCCCGGCTTTACTAGAGGAACCCTTTTGTTAGCCAAGGAAATACACATTTTCAGCTGTCATTTCCTTTTGCCAAAAATCCTGAGGTAACGGGGGATCAGAAGGAATATGGAGCCATTCCTTAAATTCTGAGATGGCATATTAGCTACACAGAGAAAATGGTCAAGCTTTGAGGAGCAGAGGAAGAAGAGGTGAGAGGGAGAATATTCAAATGTGGAGGCAATCAGGACCCATAGCCCTGGACAGTTACCAACAGGGCAGAGAACACTGCAGGGAGCTCCCAGGAGGGTCTGCTAAACACCCATATGTACTTCAGTTGATTCTATTCTCAACTTGGGGCACCAAAAAAAAAAATCAATGGCAGCTGTGTACAAGTCTCGGGTTTTCTTCTGTATCTCTTTCTTCCTGCTCCCCAATCTTTTCTCCAAGATTCCCATTACTTTTTCTCTTTTCTTCACTGTACCAGCCCATTTCCCTCACCAAAATTTGTGATCTACAAATACATAAACATATAGTGTGATTAAAAAAAAAAATCTGGGCTGGGGATGTGGCTCAAGCGGTAGCGCGCTCGCCTGGCATGCGTGCGGCCCGGGTTCGATCCTCAGAACCACATACAAACAAAGATGTTGT